ACTACAATTCCCATCAACACTTTATGCAGAAATGCAGAATGGCACCAGCTATAGAGGACTACTACTCCCAGCAATACTTTATACATAAATGCAGAATGGTAATTGCTATAGAATGCTGCAACTGTCAGCAACACTTTATGCAGAAATGCAGAATGGCACCAGCTATAGAGGACTACAACTCCCAGCAATACTTTCTACAGAAATGCAGATGGTAATGGCTATAGAGGACTGCAACTCTCAGCAACACTTTATACAGAAATGCAGAATGGTAATGGCCACAGTGGACTACAACTCCCAGCGAAACTTTATACAGAAATGCAGAATGGTAATGGCTATAGAGGACTACACCTCCGAGCAATACTTTATACAGAAATGCAGATTAGTTCCATCAGTTATAGAGGACTACAAACATGTCACAGAACACACAGAACATGGGCACAGAGATTAAAGCACTCACCTTATCTGACTGTCCTCCAGGCTGGAACGTCATGCAGCGGGCTGTGTATTCAGGAAGCTATCTCTGGGTCTTCCCGGCCAAGGCCCCAGCGCTGCCTCAGTGTACCTGCAGTACAATTACTCCCGGCTCTCTCTCGGCTCCTTCCTCACTTGCAGGGTGGCAAGGCGTATGACGCCCGGCGCCCCCCACCATTCATTCCCCTATCCTGCCACTGGTACTATGCCTGGGTCTACTGGGCTCTCCCAGGCTCGGGCCCTGGAACAGCTACAGCGGCTGCAGTTCCGCCCCTGGCCATAGTTTACAAAAGGCTAACTGGCACATTACATTTCCTAAAAGCATATATATTTGATGTATATCATGTTTAGTCTCTATCAAATTGTGATTTAGTTCTGTACAATAATATGTTGGTTATCAGACTGTTAAACATGGTCATCTGAAAATATTGATACAAGTGTAGTGTGATAAGTTGCATTAAAAGAACACTTTAGCCCTTCTACATCACACCCCAGCACTTCTAAATGGGTGGGGTTGGTTCAGTGACACCCAAATGGTCCACAAACATTGGCAGCTGACAGCTCTCAGTGCTCCATGGAAAATGTGTAGGAGTGCTGAAAATAATTTCTGAGGTCCAGTCATTTTGTCAGAATCAAACTTACTCTGCATTGAATTGGACTCTTTTTGTGTCATGTTTTCGGTAAGTATTATTCCCACACGTTTTTCTTTTCCTTTCAATTATTATATTAAAACAATTTGAAGCATAAAGCTCTAACTGCTCTAACCAGAGTTTAAAGAATTCTTGCCTCTTTGATGAAAACTACCATATTTTAAACACCGTTTCATCCCTGTCTGGTGTGGCAGTGGGTGTTGTAGAAATGTGTTAAAGGTCAGGATTGCTATAACACAAACTGAACAGTTCATGTTCCTGTGGTGGCAGCTACTGTTTGTATGTGTAGAGGATTAAAGTGACATTAAACCCTCAGATTTTTTAACATAAAACAATACTGTAATGTGTGCCTTACTGTAATCCATGGTTGTTTCCCTTCTCTTTGCTGCTCTTCCTTTTAAATCTGTATCTGAAATGTATTCAGTTCATAGTTTTACATAGTATTTGAGGTTGAATAAAGACATTAGTCCATCAAGTCCAACCTATTAGGATCTCATTCTAGGAGTACCCGTACCTCATAAAAAATTTTTTCCATGATCATAGTTAAAAAAAATCACAATGAATATGTAAACATGATATCAAATCCCTCATTTCTTGCATATAAATTCATTAAATAACATAATCCATTTCTTGATAATAATCATTAATCCATCATTCTGTTACATATACATAATTATGCCGCTCCATTTGTCTCCTACGCGTTTCACAAAATAGCTTCAGGTTTTTTTTATTCTTGGCAAAAAAATCTAGTCATAGACATATAAAATATTATTCATCAATCAATGTATACATATATCATCTGAAAAGTAATCACATATTCATTTAATTCTTTCTAATTTATTTTCATTTATAGTCGACTATGCATGTTATTTCTTTTATACTTTTATGTCTTAACTATAGTACACAGCCAGTTACATTGTCCAACATACTCAGATAATCATCCAATATTCAATATGCCCTTAATGAATAAATAAATATATAAACAATTTTAATTTTTTCAATCACTTAAAGTTTTCATTTCTATGTATTTCAATTTCTATTAATGTTCAAATTTCTCACGATTTCTTCACCTATATTCATAAATAAATCAAAAATAAAATATGCAGCCACTCACCCAGGGATCTGAGGTCATGCAGGGATCCAAAGCTAGGAGGGCAAGGTATAACCCAGTCACTCCCAGAGATGTCGAGCGGCACAGCCACAGATGCCTATGAGGTTACCACAGAGTATGAGTATCTAAAATAAACCGTGATTATACTTTCTTTCTTATATGTTTATATCTCATCAGTGACCTTATACTTTTATCCCTATATATATGTGAATATGTAGAGAGTGTCTATCCTTCCCTTAGCTTAGTCGCTGTGTGTATATGTTGATTTCTATATATTCCCCCTATTCAAGTGATTTGAATTTTAATTGTATGTGCAATTCCCTTTCAAAAATTGTTTTCCTATCACCCCAATTTTAGTTCGTATCATCTGTGTCAGGCATGAAACCTGTGTGGATCTATTCATATATGTCTCCTTTGAGCCTGGTGATTCCTGAGACATCATTGGAAGTGTGATTATATTGTCTTTTTGTTTGTAATAATGTGTCCATCTGTATCTATTCCCCATTCGAGAAATCATCCTCAATCCTACATTCCAAACTGTGCCATTAAAAAGCAATCCAAAAGTATCAATTCAATACAAACCAAATCAAAAAAGAGGCCCAATCAAAAGAGCCTCATAGTAGGTAGTGCGTGCCCATGTGTTACCTTCAAAGCTTGTGTGAGGGGATTATCCTCTCCTTAAGATTCATAAGTATAAGTATATAGGGATAAAAGTATAAGGTCATTGATGAGATATAAACATATAAGAAAGAAAGTATAATCACGGTTTATTTTAGATACTCATACTCTGTGGTAACCTCATAGGCATCTGTGGCTGTGCCGCTCGACATCTCTGGGAGTGACTGGGTTATACCTTGCCCTCCTAGCTTTGGATCCCTGCATGACCTCAGATCCCTGGGTGAGTGGCTGCATATTTTATTTTTGATTTATTTATGAATATAGGTGAAGAAATCGTGAGAAATTTGAACATTAATAGAAATTGAAATACATAGAAATGAAAACTTTAAGTGATTGAAAAAATTAAAATTGTTTATATATTTATTTATTCATTAAGGGCATATTGAATATTGGATGATTATCTGAGTATGTTGGACAATGTAACTGGCTGTGTACTATAGTTAAGACATAAAAGTATAAAAGAAATAACATGCATAGTCGACTATAAATGAAAATAAATTAGAAGGTATTAAATGAATATGTGATTACTTTTCAGATGATATATGTATACATTGATTGATGAATAATATTTTATATGTCTATGACTAGATTTTTTGCCAAGAATAAAAAAAAAACCCGGAAGAAGCTATTTTGTGAAACGCATAGGGGACAAATGGAGCGGCATAATGATATATATGTAACAGAATGATGGATTAATGATTGTTATCAAGAAATGGATTATGTAATTTAATTAATGTATATGCAAGAAATTAGGGATTTGACATCATGTTTACATATTTATTGTGATTTTTTAACTATAATCATGGAAAAACATTTTTATGAACTGAATACATTTATATAATCATTTTTGAAACTTTGAGTCCTCTCTTAAGAAAACCCCATCACAACCTTGGTTGTTTATCTACATATTTGACTAAACTGGGGGTGAGGTCTCAGAATACCTGGGGTTAGACCTGGAAAAGTGCCTTTATTTGGAGACACTTCTTCAAGATGCGACAGCATCTTCAAGTGGTCATGGGGACTTCTTAAGTTGTGATTGTTTTCTTAGGTGATGCTCCAGTTTCAGACAGCCCAGAACAAGTGCAGATGAAAACAGGTGCAAAAAAGATGCAACTGAAAAAATAGTGCAAGCTCTAGTCAAAACAGCTGCAAAACACATGGTTAAAAAAGTAGTGTAAGCTAAGATGAAAAAAGGTGCAAAACACGTGCAGTTGGAAAAGTAGTGCAAGCTCAGGTAACAGGTAGGTAACAGTTGGGCGGTGCTAGCTGTCACTGCTAGCTCCGCCCAATAGTTTTTTTTTTAATTTAAAAAAAAATCTTTATTGATTTTTTCAAATCTAGCCGAACATGCAGTGCATGTTCGGCTGACCGAAGTGCAGCCGAAGGCAGCTGAAATCAACCATACTGAGCCGTAGTGAATAGCCGAACAGCGTTCGGCTCACTTTACTACGACTCCTTTATTCACTCGGCTGCCTTCGGCATGCCTTTTTTTGTCACAATCTCCACTTTAGAAACCAAAAAATTAAGTTAGTTTAGTGGCTTAAACAACACTGCTATAAAAAAGAAAACATGTAGTTAGGACTGAAGTTGGAGTCTCTAATTACCTTTGAATGAGTTTTAAAACTGGCTTTGATTGTTTACTCATTATGGAATATATACTGTACTATCATTGTTGTATTTTAATTTATTGCACTAATGTGTTGGTAATATTTTTTTATATTAGGGGTATACAATAAATTGAGTTCATGAATTTACAAGGATTATTTTCAAGTATACGTGACCGTTATTCAGGACCCTGTTCCATTCCAGTTTGATGCTCTGAGTACTAAAGGCATATATTGATTTGCAAGAAATACATCCATTTAATACAGATACAAATTGAGTAAATTATTATTTTATTATATATGTATATTCCAATCACTAGTGTTTCTTAGACAGGCCTCCTTGGTGTCAAACTGGATGCTTATAATCAATTTTGCTTATGTTGAATTGACATCTATTGAGGATTAACATATGTGGGGGGGGGTTTTCCATTTAAGGAAGGCTTTCTGGTACTAGTATTTTTAAAACTTCCGAACTTTTCTCAGCAGACAGGACAAAAACTGAAAGCTTTCAGTGGACATCAAGATACCATCTACTGCAGTGCTTTTGCCACAGACGGTTTATGCATAGTAAGGAAATTATTTATTTCTTAGAGACAACTATTCTACAGCTGCTTCTCCCACTCGTCATTACTTAGCACTTGAGCACATGAGCAGTCTGCAGTTTGTCCACTCAAAATGTTTGCATTGACAGAGCCCTTGTGAAATACAAACAACAAAACAGGTATATAGACTGGTGGGGGCTTTAAAGGTATGCAAACAAGGCCTTCAATTACAACAATTCCGCGTAAGGAATGTAACAGCGGAAGCACATCCTATGCTGACGTCATAGACACCCATATCTCCCTCCAGGGTGCACCTTTTGGGGCGCGATTCCTTGCACGGCTGGGGAGCCGGCGTCCAGACGTGCCTCCATAGCTCCAGTACATGTCCTTGTTTCTACTGGTCCACACTCATCGTAACATCCTCCATGTATGGCGAAATGCGTTGAGGAAACATCAGCGTGTCAACTACCACTTCGGTGCTATCTCATCACGACATTGTGACACTCAAACTGCATTTAAGACATTGTGGAATCAGGACTCAAATATTGGAGCTGATATATGAGTAACAGAGTGCCTGTAAAACCTGGCAGGATGGGAGGAAAAGCGATGGATGGAAGATATGTTTTATGGTAATGCCAGCAGAGGTCTGGAGGTAAAGAAAGACAGTTCTTTACCCTGTGTTGGTAAATCCTGTTCTGGGGCTGGTTTTACTAGGAGTCTGATGGAGCTCTGGGTGAGACAGACTCCGGATTCCGTGGACCTTCATTTGGTGACGGTGGCTGCACAGGTCCTCATTATTAGGGTCCAGCTGGACCTAGCAAGTGCAGTGCATGTGTGCTGGAGGCACAAGAGGCCCAAGCCAGTAGTGTGTGCTGGAGGCACACTAGGCCCAAGCCAGTGGATAGTTGTGGGTGTGCGGGGAGCACACGGCCAGAGACTCTGCTGCATGCTGGAAGCACGTGTGGAACTGCTGGGAAAGGTCCAGAGAGTCGGTGACACCCAAGGGACCTGTTGGAGAAACTGAAAGTCAGTGACCCATGAAGGGTGATCAGTGCGAGTATCACACAGGAGTGTGATGACATGCTTGGAGCTGAGGAAAGCTGCTGAGCAATACTGAGGACTGTATTTGCAGAGAAACACGGTAAAGTCCTGAGACTTATACATCGGAAGTGCATGGAACAGCCAGATGTTGGCGAGACAGAAATATTATGGTTTGGTTAAGGTCAAATAACCTGTTGTTTCATTATGTGAAGTACATGGATTGCTGGTCTTCGAGTGAATAAAGACTGTTCTTTTATGTTAAAGTCGGCTTCAGCAGTGGTCACTTAGCACTCACCATTGTGCTACATTCCCTAAATTACCACAATGCCATATGTATTTCATGGCTTTGAAATGTTTTTAGCTACCATGTTTTAATTGTTATTAATAAAGTCTATTTTCTTTTAATTGAAGGCCTAGTTTGCATACCTTAAAAGCTCCACCAGGTTATATACCTGTTTGTACTTTATAGCTATGGGGTGTGGTATCATGGCCTTCCTCTGCTGAACATTAGCTATTAACATTAGAGTCCTTGTGGAAGATGTCACATACACAGAGCCAGATTTACCATTAGGCATACCAGAAAGCACTTCTCTTTGCCCTGGACTCAAACCTTTTTTCTCCTTCACTATTTTAACACCAATTTGGTACATGTCCCAAATCAGCATTACCAATCAATTATGCTTTCCTACTTCCCTCCACACATGACAGCATGTTTGCTGGTGGTGTGCTGTTGTAAGTATAATTTTAAGGGTCTAAGTCTAGACATGCCATAGTGAGAAATTCTTACAGAAAATGAAAAATGTAATGTTAGGAAGGAATCACAGTGCAATAATAGCACAAACATACTAGAGCACCCTTGGGTACATCACAATGAACACTGCAACAGTTGAGAGTATGTAAACATACAACAGTGTATAGAGCAGATCGGTCAAAAGTTTGTAACAGTGCCACTTACATTTCTGGTCAGTGGGAGGAAAAATATGCCCCCTGTAAAAATTGATTATTAGTGGTTAGTGACAGTAAACAAACCCCCTCCCTAATCATTGGTGGTCAGCAGAAGTTAACAGCCCTCCCTTCCCAATCACAGCAGTAAGCAACCATGCATGTATTCAGTAATTAGAGTCAGCATTAGTAAACAGTCCACCTTCTCCCAGTCATTGGTGGTCTGTGACAGCAAAAATCCCCGCCCCCACCAGTACAGTAGCCTTTGCCTCATGCACTGCAGAACTTTGCAGCAACTGTCAGGCAGGAGAGCACTTTTACCAACAGAGTGGCGACACAGATCCAGTGTTTTTTTGGAACACTTTTAGTTTCTGGTAACATGTTAAATATAATTTTAGTTGCCTCTGGAAATATGTCAGTGCTGCTGGCACACCACATATATGGTATGTTAAACAATGACTAAAGTAGAACTGTGACCAAGCTATAGACATTCAGCTAGTTACATATTCATAGCAAGAAGTACAAAGAAAAAACTTTAAAACAAGCCCCCACTGACCTCTGTAGCTGCAGATACTCTGAAGTAATTGATATTACAATTTAAAAGAATAGCAGGTTTCCATTCCACTGATGGCAGGGGGATGAAAATGGTCTTGTGATAGAAAAAAGTGAAATACTTTTTTTCTCATAAATTTGAGAATTAGTTACTCTATGGTGCCTGCAGCTAGAGAGGTCAGTGAGGTTTTTCTAATGTATTTTTTACTGCTTGTTAAGAATATGTAAACATTTAATTTGTAATTTTGCCTGGCGTTCTTCTTTACATATCCATTTTCTGGCCACAGACAGTGGATATTATTTTATTCATAACTATTCATGTGTGATTATGAAATTATTAACAGCAGTTTCCAAAGTTCTTTACATACTCCTGTATGTCTTAGAATCAATACATGCATAAAAAGTTTTTATTTTAGAAATGTACAGGGCTCAGTTATACCATCTATTCAACAACAGTATTGCACTGACGCAAAATATAATTGGTATCCAGCTTGTCACAGTCTCTTTAATGATAAAGGAAAGGAAGGGAATTAACAATTATTAATTGTCTTGCTATTGCACCATGCAGGCTACAGGCTCCTGGGATTATACAGTTAGATTATGGAGTGTACGCAATGACAAGACCAACAGAGCACTGGAAGGACATAATGGCAATGTCACCTGCGTGTGCTTCTCTGTATCTGGCATGCTGGTAAGAAAATGCTCCTATAGATAAACAGGTTTATTAAAGGAATTTTCTTACACAATAATTCATACCCACACAACTTTTCCCATAATGCAAATCTTCACTCCCTTGTGTTGTTTGAATGTCTCTAACAGCTGCCTGTAGACTGTGTAAGCACAATGCAAAATTGGAAGCACTAGAAGAAAAATGGACATTAAATCTTGTACTTGTAAATCATATTATTATACAGGATTTATTTAGCACCAACAGTTTGCCCAGCGCTTTACAATATAAGGAAGACATTACAGTTACAATACAATTCAAGACAAGATGCTAAGTCTTTAGGGATCGTCTAAAGGCAGCCAGAGTAGGAGACAGATGGATAGGTTGGGGTAAGAAGTTCCACAGGATGGGAGAGACTCTAGGGAAGTCCTGGAGGTGAGCATGGGAGGAGTTGACAAGGGAGCTAGAGAGCAGGAGGTCTTGGGAAGAGCGGAGGGGACGGTTAGAGTGATGGCTTGAGACAAGGTTGGAGATATAGGTGGGGGCAGAGTTGTGGATGGCTTTGTAAGTGGTTGTTAATATTTTTAATTTTATCCTCTGAAAGCCAGTGGAGGGATTGGTAGAGGGTGTTGCAGACACTGAGCAGTTGGTTAGGTGAATGAGGCTAGCAGCAGCAGCATTCATGATAGACTGAAGAGGGGATTGCCTGTGTAGTGGTAGGCCAATGAGGAGGGAGTTGCAATAGTCAAGATGAGAGATTACAAGCGAGTGGATAAGTAGCTTTGTGGTTTCATTGGTAAGGAAGTGGCATATTTTGGAGATGTTACGAAGGTGAAGGCGGCAGGATTTGGATAATGATTGGATGTGGGGCAGAAAAGTGAGGTCTGAGTCAAGGATGACACCTAGCACCTTGGCATGGGCGGATGGAGGGAAAGTTGTGTTATCAATCTCAATGGAAAAGTTGGGGGAAGGTGCAAGGGAGGGAGGAAATATAATTTCAAGGTCAGTTTTTGAAAGATTGATTTTAAAGAAGTGTTGTGACATCCAGACTGATTTGTCAGTTAGCAAATTAGTGATACGCAAAGACACTGAGGGGGTGAGTTGTGAAGAGATATATTTGAGTGTCATCAGCTGTAGATAGAGTAGAAGGGGTCCAAGGACAGAGCCTTGGGGGACCCCTACAGAAAGAGAAAGAGGAGGGGAGGAGTTAGATATATAGGGAAAATTAAAGGAGCGCTTAGGTAGGTAGGAAGAGAACCATGAGAGAGCAGAGTCTTAGAGGCCAAGTGAGTGGAGTTTTTTTTGAGGAGCAGCAGGTGGTCAACTGTGTCAAAAGCAGCAGAAAGGTCTAATAACAAGTAAGGTGTAATGGCCATTGTTTTTCGCAGTTAGTAAGTCATTAGTGAGTTTTAGGAGGGCAGTTTCACTGGACTGTTGAGGGTGAAACACACCCGTGAATCGCTAACCCAGCGGTCTCCTGATGCAACCTCTCCCCCTTAAATTTTTAACAATTGCAACAAGTAGAAAACAGGGTTTTTTTGGGGAGGTATACAAACACTGCTTGGATACATTTAAGTAAAAATATAAAGTTTATTACATACTGAATAACTAGTATAAAATCATGAGTATAACCATTCTCATATAACACATCCCCATAATTCAACTATCATTTGATACCACATCTATGTGCGATTGGAGAGTTGTATCCAGTCCCAATGCGTTTCGCATATTGCTTTGTCAGGGGATCATGGATTAATCTCCCTAGCGTGATAACTGAAGAGAGATGGAGATTCCTAGACCAAGGGAAGACGGGGCTAATAACCACCGACCCAGCTACTCTGTCAAAATGTTGTCTGGGGGGACAAAAGTGGGGGGGCGTCCAGGACCAGAAAGGGGGGAGACACGCCTTTAGTCTGTCAGAGCTATCTAGATGATATGCTTGAGCCACTTAATAACCAATCTCTGTAACTGTTCGTATTCCAAACCTGATGATTCAGATTGACGGTGTCCCACCTCAGCCAGCATTTGGATCTGGACCAGCACGTCCCCCATTGCCTCATTGAGTTCAATTTGAACTTCTTGTATCTGATTGACACATTCAGGGGCTTTAGATTTAGGATCAGGCGGAACCTCCCTGAAGGTTTTTTCACAATGAAGACATGAGAATAAAAACCCTCCTTTTCTTCTAATTTTGGAACTGGAACCAGAACGTTCTGGTCCACTGGATCACCTATTAGTAGACAAAGGGCCTTCGACATTACTGAGTCTTTTGGAAGTTCTGTAATCAAAAACCTTTCTGGGGGAGTGTTGTCGAACTCCAAGTTGTAACCCTTTTCCATCAAATTGAGGAGAAACGCATTGGAGGACACTCTTTTCCACTGTGGGAGGAAGCCCCCTAATCTGCCCCCCACCTGAAGCTGAGCGTCACTGTGGGTTGGAATCTGGGAGGGGGGATTAAAGAGGATGCCCCTTCTACTTCTGCCCTTGTGGCCTGTCCAGTGCTTCTTTGGCTTATTCTGACCGCCCTATTGGCCCTTGCCTGAACGCCCTCCCCTGGGGGTACAGTACGAAAAAATCTACGGTTAAAAGGTTTCTTCTTTTTATCTGCCATACGCTCCACTGTTGATTGTAACTCTGGGCCGAAGAGCAGATCGCCAGAGAAGGGTAAATTACATAAACGTAACTTAGAGGCCGAGTCATCCTCCCAAGGTTTAAGCCAAAGGGCTCGACGGGAAGAATTTATCAGCGCTGAAGTTCTAGCCGACATCCTGACTCAGCTGATGCATCAGCTATAAACCAAATTGACCTAAAAAGTCCATGATTTGATCACTAGGGGTGCCTGTCAGTAAATGACATTTAAACTAGGACAACCAAAACTCCATATTTCTTGCTACGCATGTGGTAGCAAGGGCTGGTCTTAGATTAGACAGTGCCAAATCCCGGGCTCTTGTGAGCAGTACATCCATTTTTTTATCCATCGGATCCTTAAAAAGTCCCATATCATCAAAAGCCAAATCTGACTTTTTAGATAATTTAGCAAGAGGGGCATCTAACTTAGGATATTAATTCCAAATGTGTACTGGATCAAACGGAAATCTACCTTTTAAGTTTTTAGATAAAAAGTGCTTCCTCTCTGGCTCTGCCCACTCCCTAAGAACAGAATCTGAGAGAATCTTATGAACCGGAAAAACTTGTGACTTCTTCCTCTCCAGTCCCTGATACATCAAATCATGCCTGGAGAGTTGGACCTTCTCCTCCCGAATTTCCAGTGTGTCATAAATGGCCTTTAAAAGGTAATCTACGTCTTCCAATGAAAGTTTAATATACACCCAACCGAGTGTGATCTGAAGTGGCCAGATCCTCAAGCTCGGAAGATTTTACAGAGACCTCCTCCCTGATCAATATAGGCTGACTAGAGGGGCCAGGCACCAAAGGGTTAAGGGTTGGCTTAAAATTGTCCAAGAGTGACCTGAATTGTCCAAGAGTGAAATGTGGATGCTAATTCCTCCTTCACTAAAGATAAGAGGCTGCTACAAGCAGAAACTGACTCCTTCTTAAGAATCCCCCTATACACGCCTGGCAGAGAGGCTTGGTATAGGCCAGGCTAAGCTTAACTCCACAAACAGCACATTTTTTCATTGGTACACTCCTGGACTTCTCTGGGGCTTTGGCCTGCAGAGAAAAAATAAAAGATGATTTACCTCGAGAGGAAAAAAGTCTAGTTTTGGCTTAACACCTAAACAACCCACCACCAAGGGATCCTAGGTGAAGTGCAGGAAGTCAGAGCATCAGGATTTAGAAAAAGATATATATTACCTGAGCTGGGATGGAAGTATCTCCCCTCAAACAACGCTCCATAGGTGACGCATCTCCTCCGGACGGAGGAAACACATAAACCGAGGAGCTTGCTCTATGGCCAGTCTTTTAAACTTCTATGATGGCGTGTTTCCTGCTTGAGGGGAGGTACTTCACATCTCACATGTTGTCCTGCAAGACGTTTGGGTAAAGAAGGATTGAAGTGGCAAAGATTAGGGGGATTCAGGGATGGGGACAGGGTGAGTGTGAAACTGACAAGGTTGTGGCCTGAGAGGGGAAAATGAGAGTTAGAGAGGTTGCAAGGAGTGCATAGGTGAGAGAACACAAGATCTAGAATGTTGCCATCAGAGTGAATAGGAGTGTGTGTCCATTGTGTTAGGTCAAAAGAAGAGGTTAGGTTGAGAAGTTGAGTGGTAGCTGGGGTGTTAATGTTAGTAGCAATGTTGAAGTCTCCCAGAATGATAGGGGGTATGTCAGAGGAGAGAAAGTAGGGTAGCCAGGCAGAGAAGTCATCAAGAAAATAATATAAATTACAGCAATCCTCAAAGTAGGGTAGCCAGGCAGAGAAGTCATCAAGAAAATAAGATAAATTACAGCAATCCTCAGAGAAACTGGAGAAGATAGGCGAATACAGTGGGCTTCAAAAGAGGAGAGGGATAGAGAGGGAGGTGAAGGCAGAACCTGAAATGTGCATTTTGGGGATAGAAAGGATTCCCACTCCACCTCCTTTACGCCCACTGGCTCTGGGTGAGTGCGTCCAGTGGCGGCCACCATGGGAGAGGGTGGCAGGGGAGGCAGAGTCAGATTCCTGAAGTCAGGTTTCAGTAACAGCAAGCATGTTAAATGAATTGGATAAGAAGATCATGCACAGAGGTGAGCTTGTTACAGACAGAGCGTGCATTACAGAGAGCACATGAGAAGGGAGGACTGGTTCTAGGAAGCAGGGGAATAGAAATTAGGGTGCGTTGATTGGAGCTGCTGCCATAGGAAAGGCAGTGCGCTGGTTTGAGGGGTGACTATTAGAAAACAAAGGGCTGGAATTGAGAGAAATATCACCAGAAGTAAGGAGAAGCAGAAGGGTGAGGGAAGTGAGATGAGTAATTTTTTTTATGCGTGCACATGCCCTAGTATCTTGGAGGTAACACTAGCATGTGGGTTCAGAATGAGCAGGAGGTAATAAATGCAGTAATTCGGAGAGGGCAGAAGAGAGAGTGAAATATATAATCTCTGGGGTGGAGGGGTTAAAGGAAAGAGACTTTATGAAGAGAAGACACAATTGTGAAAAGCAATGGTAGAGAAGGCATATTAAGGGGTGGAGAGTAGTAATCAAATTTGGAACAGAGAGAGGTAGGTGGGGAAAAGAGGATCACCTGCAGTCTGTCAAGAGCATTGTTGATGTATTTTTGTGCCTTCTCCAAGTGCCTTTTCTAAGTGCGTAGACGATGACGACACTTAATTTCAAATAGATGCTTTCTTTAAAAAAGACATTGCAAAAGTGCCCGTGCCCCCTAGCAAATATATCTTTGCATAAAATACAAATACCTGCTGTGCTATAGGGCTCACACCATATACTGACACATCAGGAAACTAGACATGTGCGATTCGGGTCGTTCCGAAATTCGTTTCGGACGTATTTTTTGAAATTCGGAGATTTGGATGAAAATTCGTTAGCGGTAGTCCGGCCGAAATTCTTTTATGGACGAAATTCGTTATTGGGGGGGAACCTCACGCTTTTTTTTTTCAACTTCTGCAGACTATAAAAAAAAATCATTTTTTTTCCTAATGTCATTTTGCTGCAACGAAATTCGTTATTGGACGAATTTCGTTGCAGCAAAATGACATTAGGAAAAAAAAATGACATTTATTTTTTTACAGTCTGCAGAAGAGGAAAAAAAACAAAACGTGAGGTTCCCCCCCAATTCATAACAGACCCTTTAGGTCTGGTAGGAATTTTAAAGGGGAACCCCAGCCCCAAAAAATGGGGGGAAAAAGGTGGGATCCCCCCTAACAGTCCTACCAGACCCTTGATCCGAGCACTGGCCCGGCAGGGCAGGAAAGGGGAGGGACGATCGAGCGCCCCCCCTCCCTGCGCCTTACCAGGCCATGTGCCCTCGGGATTGGGAGGGGGTCTGCGGGCAAGGGGGCTTATTTGCATCGGGGTACCTCTTTAACCAGATGACACCCCCCCATGTGAATGAGTAAGGGGTACTTGTACCCCTACCCATTCACTAAAGGGTTAAATCAAATAGTTAGTAAAAAGTCCAGACTTTTGACAAAATCCTTTAATTGAAAAAAAAAAAATGCAGGACCCTCGCCGACCCACCGAAATAAAAAAGTCCCGCCGCAGACGACCACCCGAACCCGACGAAAACTCGCCGCAAAAATGACATTCATCCCAAATGTCAACAGCCCGAATGTCAACACGGCTCGCTCCGCCCATTTGACATTGTCAGCTGTCAAATGCTACATAGCATTCGGGAACACCCGAATACTGTTCATGAGTTTCCGAATGCTATTCAGGTCTGTGAGCCAAGGGGGTTGATTTACTAACCTTATAAACACACCACTAACATGTATACACCTCTGTAGTGTGTTCACCCCCAGCATGATCTATGGGTGGAATCTAAACACCTTTGTAGTGTGTACACACACAGCAGGTGTGTTGTGCAAAGCCAAGCATGAATTGCAAGGTGATGTTGTGTAAATTAGCTCTATGTTGTGTTGCTTGCGTTGATGAATGCAAATGCATGAGCTAACCATTTTTGTCTAAACTGTGAAGCTGCATTATATATGCATCATGTGCATGATATTTCCATATATGGCATTAGTGGAAATATGCTTTTAGAGACTTTTTGGTTGATAAATACGTTTTGCTGTGTGAAAATCACACGCACCTGGTGCGTGCGTGTGTTTAGGTTAGTAAATCACCCCCAAGGTGTCATAATTATTTTCAGATGATACCTCGGCTCTTTTTTTGTGTTATAACGTGCACAAACTTTCATTTTCTCCTACAACACCTACTACAACATTTTCCCTCTACAGCAATTCTATGGTTAAAAGTAGGCAATAGTGTAGTGGTTAGAGTACTGGTTTGCCATTGTCAAGGTCGCAGGTTCTAATCCATGGCAGGGAGAATAATGGATAAAGTTATTTGTTTTTCTTTGCTTTTGAATTGGCATTCTCTTAACATCTTCTGCAGACTGTAAAAAAAAAAGGAAACCCCCCCCCCCCCTAATGTCATTTTGATTGCAACGAAATTCGTCCATAAACGAATTTCGGCCGGACTACCGCTAACCAATTTCGTCCGAAACAAATTTAATTTCGGACCCGAATGCGAAAAACGAAATAATGCAAAGTCCGAATCAAAACAAAACTAAATTAAACAAATTTTTGTTTGTTTGTTTCAAAACGAAACTAAACTAAACTAATTTTTTGCTTGTGCACATGTCTACAGGAAACTCAGTTGTAGGCATGGCTTCGGGTTCAGTTCAACAGAGTTAAGCTTTCGTTCGAAGTTCGTCAAACGGATTAAGTAAATGGCAAGATGTGGCCTGTTCACCTTCCCAAACTCCTGACAGGTTCAGCTGAAAGTGATTCATTTAGTGGCAGCATTACAGCCACAAATGAATTACTTCCTAGCCTGTCGGTCAGCTTGTTTCACATAGTAAACAAGCTGGTGGATATTCTTGGGAGACATCATTGACCAAATATGGCCATGACAATACTTTGTCAATGACGTCAGTCAGCAATTCTGACCAGCTTGTTTACATTCGGTTGCTGGCAAGGGAGCTGTCAGTTGCGATAAAGGGTGCCGGTGAAGTAGATCATTATGTGCAGATCGTCATGTTTCTGTGCATCTTTTGGCCATCACTTATTATGATGGATACTGGATCTCCATTCCTGGACAACATGATTAACAATAGATTAACACCGTGGGACTTTTCTTTCTTGTAAAGGACTTTATGATACATTATTTTAGATTATTTTTTTGAGAATTACTAACAAGGGGTAGATATCTGGGAAGCCGTTACTCTAAAGAGGGCATCCAGATTCTGATCATTTTCCCCCGCAGGTCCACACATCCTTTGGGCCCTTGTTGAGGTCATGTGGCCCGGTATGGTTCAGGAGAGAGGGGGTCAGGAATAAGGATCTGGCAAGGATTTTGGGGGGAGTCCTTGCTGTTTACTACAAAAAAAACTTGCCTGGGAGTAAAATGTTTTTCTTTTTAACCACTTCCCGCGGGTTCACGTAAAGGTACGTCCTGCGCTGGAAGTGGTTATACCAAGAACACGGCTGCTGCAGCTGTACCATTTTAAACAGCTGGCGATTGCTGTTTAAATACAAGTGATCCGGCGCCGTTTCCCCATCCCCCCCCTCCGCTGCCCCGGCTTCCCGGCTTCCACTGTCACCTGTGGGAGCCCTGGACTGGCTTGGAGGGTCTCCCCTGATAGATCGGAGGAGAGATCAGCGGCTTCCAGAGGGCGATCTCTTCTCTGATCACTGGACCCGGAAGTGATGTGCATTACATCACTTCCGGTATCACTGGGCACATTCGTTAGCTCCTGGAGCCAGAGGAAGAAGCTGGTGAAGCAGATCTCTGCTTTATCAGCTTCTTTGGGGTCCCTAGGTGACATTAGGGGTCTGAAAGACCCCTGATTTACATAGGGGGCTTGTTAGCCCCCTATGCAATAGCAATAGAACTGAGTGTAAAAAAACAAAACCCAAAATTGTTAAAATTAAAGTAACATAAAAAAATCCCCCAATTTTTTTTTTTTTTAAAGTCCCCCCCCCCCCCATGTGCATGCACATACAATGTAAACATGCGCCTATGTGCAAAAACAAAAATTGCGCCACACATGTTACATTTCGTCACAAGCATCGGAGTGAGAGCAATAATTGTAGGCCCATCAATCACTGTTAGCACTAAACGGATGAGCCGTAAAAGTGTTTAAAACGTCACCTATGGGAAATTTTGGTTATTGTAATTTTTTGCGATTTCACGGACGCACGCAATTTTAAGGCTTGACATGTTTGGTATCTCTTTACCCGGTTCTTTGGTATCTTTTATACTTTACCCCAAAAATGGGCAATATATCCTGTTTCTGTGCACTAAATTTAATTTTAGTGTATTTTCTCCTAGAAATACTTGTTTGATAAACATTTGCGCAAATACAGTGTGACATACAAAATTGCAACTAGCATCCTTTAATTCTTCAGGGCCTCTGCTTTCAGAAAATATATAATTGTTTGGGGGTCTGAAGCGGTTATCTAGCCAAACATTCTGATTTTATCATGTGTGTGCAAATGTAAGAAATTGCTCCGGAACCAAGTGGTTAAGTGTCCCTTTTGTGTGAGTACATGCTACAGATGCACCACTTCTTGTACAGGTTTAGGGCATCCTCCAACCATGTTATTTAAAGAAATTATATGTTTTAATTTTACCCTCTGAGCCTTATTAAAATGTCAACTCCCCACTGAATGGAATTGTTTACATTTTCATTTTTATTGTTACAGGTTCCACATCGCAATGCCCAGCTCCCCATGCCCTTTGACAATCCCTTGCCTATTAGCTTTGAAAAAGGCTAGAACTGATTTTCAAAATTGATTGCGGCATTTCATCCATAACATTGTTCCAATATTATAATAACTATTTTGTCTGATCTGTGTCAATAAAGAGAGAAACTAGACTATTACTATTAGACATTAGATCTTACAAATGGAACACTAGTTGTGATTGCAGCAAAGGAACAACAAAACAACAGTAATAATAATCATTTCATTAAAAGGAGCAAAATGCTGAAATAAAATAGCAAAAACTGTCATGTTATTCAGCTAGGGATAATAATTTTAAATGTTATTTGACCATTATTTTCATTTAAGGAAGGACACCACTAAAGGTTAATTAGTGGTAATTTTACCTTTGTAGGCATCTGGTTCCTGGGATAAAACTATTCGTGTGTGGAATCCGTGCAGTGGCTCCCTCATCTTTCTCCTGACTGGACATGTAAATTGGTTGAGGACCCTGTCTTTCTCCTGGGATGGTATCCTGCTGGCCTCTACAGGACATGACAAGATGGTAATAGTAATTGTAGTTTGAGAATAGATAATAACTGCACTCTCCGACCTTCCTAAGGTGCCCACAGACATGAGATGGGGTAATGAGTGATGGTTCTTTATAGAGGTGCACTGAAATAGAAACTTCAAAACCGAAACTGAAATTAAAAAAATTGTCAGGCCGAAACCGTTTTTTTTCACATTTTTTAAATATTTTATTTTTTATAAACTTTTTTAATATTTATTTTTATTTATTCATTTATTTTTTTATTAAATATTTTTATTTTTTACTAGGGTTGCACAGATAAAATAAAGGGATGCACAGATACCAGTTTTGCGAGTACGAGTACTGGTACTTGCAGAGTACTTACAAGTACGAGTACTGATACATTTTTGTTTATTGCCATGTGACAGTTTTTCTAAAACAATACAGACTAATGATTTCAGGACAGTGGTGGAGTGCCAGAGCCCGGTCCTCAGCTTCAATCGCTGGAACCCTGATAGTTCTCATGAAAATGCCAAGTATCTGCACTGGTACTCGAAAAGTATCTGTGCATCCCTATTTTTTACTTTACTTTTAGGGGCTTTGGGGAAATATTGGGGGTCTGAACAGACCCCTGATATTTCCCTTTTAAAATAGAAAAAGAGATTGAGAACACAGAGTCCTCAATTTCTTTTTCTGTATCACCTTTTATCAATGAACAGGAATCCTCTATGAGAGTTCCTGTTCATTGATAACTTGAGAACAATGTGTGTTTACTATAACTACAACTATGAATGAACAGGAGGTGATGTAGATCACTTCCCATTCATTCATAATTGAGGATATAGTCCACATGCTATATCCTCAATTATCTACAAACACTCAGCGCTCACTGATCACTGAGTGTTTGCTCTCGCTCTCCTCTCTGACAAGCTGTCACAGGAGGCTGAGCGAGCGGAGCAGGGAGGAGAGCTCAGCCTCTTGTGACAGCGCGGGCTGTCTCCGCCCCCCACACCACTCTGCCAGACTGTGATAGGCGGCTGAGCGGTGTGGGAGGAGAGAGACCGGCCGTTCACAGCGCTCTCCTCCCACAGCGCTCGGCCGACTGTCACTTTCCCTCCTCCCCGCTGGGACACAGAGTAGTGCCCAGAGGGGAGGAAAGAAACCTGGGATGCGCCGATGTATTGGCAGGACAATGGCACTTTCGGCACTTAGCCAAAAGTGCAATTTTTCGGTGGCCGATATATTGGTGCATCCCTAGTTCTAGAGTAATTTTGACATAACCATACAAGCCAGGTGTGCATGTTTATACACTGAGCAGAAAGACCTGATGCCAGCCTTATCTTAGGAAACCAGTTAAGAAAAGCCCAACTGGGCCAATCAAGTCTATCCCCAGGATTATTAAGCTAAGTGGTGGAGAGGTTATAGAGTGTGTTTAAACAGCAGATAAGTTCTTGATTTTAATGTTAATGGCTGGATTATGTGTCATATCTCCCTTTAAGCCAGAACTAATAAATTACTGCTAACATAGGGGAATATCTTGAGACAAGGCCATCAAAACCTTTAAAGTAAAAGTCTTCTCTGCACACCTCTGAGAAACTGGTTTCAATTTATTGCTAAGGACTATAGGACTAAATACCACTTATGTGCCATTTTCTTATCCAATGGGAGTGGTTTATTAAACTATAAAGGTGCTTTCATTGACAGTTGGATGACAAATGTGTAGTGTTTAAAAAGTTACATTAAAGAGAGTTTTCTAGCTAATAAAGGTCAGAGCTGGTATCCAGTGTTATGTGCTCCTAGGCAGGATTTGTCACTGGCAAAAATTATAGATGGCCATATTTAGTGTTTATAATTCCAGTTAGCAGATCAATTAGCACATTCAGTATATGACAGATTTGCCTGTATTTAACACTCACAATCCAAACATATCATAAGATGTTTAATTTGGTAGTGTCTGGCCTGAATCACACCATCAAGCTAAATCATTTAGTGGTAACTCAAGTTCTTAGGCCTGCCTGCCTTTCACAGTAAATGTAACGGGGGTCTTTTTTACCCAGTTTTTAATGGCAGGGGGGCATTTTGTCCAACCTCAAATGTTGGCCTTTTCTCTCCCTAAGTGACCTTAGAGTTAACAGTTTATTACAGTTACTATGAGCACCTCTGATACAGTTATACCTTGTGATCGTATCCCCTCTTAGTGAAGAGATGTCTTGCTGCACTATTTACTGGATATCCCATAGAAATGTAAATGGGTGCTCGTAGTGACCACAGATGGCCCCGTCCACACAGATACACGTTCAGAAATGTCACCAGCACATCAAGATGACTTGTGCAATCAGGAAACGTCCATTAATTGACACAAAGGTCTGGGTATTGCATTCCCAGATTATAAATATATAATATACAAATCTCATCCATGTTTTAGTATGCTGCATATACAAAGCAGATTTATACACATGGCATTCTTCCAGAAAGCCCACAAACAGATTGGCAAACGAGGGGACCGCAGAGCTCCCCATGGCTGTCCCTCAGACCAGCTTGTAGGTCTTTTCTTCAAAAGTAAACATGTTGTTCTCGAGAACAAAGTCTAGACAAGAAAATTAAGGCTAAGGGGGTGTCCTGTTCCCCTCCCTGTAATAAAAAATGTTCAAAGGCCAGGAGGCCTGCATTATTAGGTATACCGATATATAATGATGAAATATCCATCGTAGCCAGTTAAGCACCTCCTAAGCATCTCTTCTCCAGAGTGAAAAAGTGTAATCTTTCCTCATAGCTGAGGTCCTCCAGCCCATTTCATTTTGTTCCCCTTCACTGAACCCTTTTTACATAAAAGACATCTTTCCTCAGGATTTGTGACCAAAACCAAACTCAATATTCAAGTCCAAGCTAGTGTTTTGTAAAGGGGTAGAAATATTGATTTCTCTCTTTCATATATACCCCTTCTAATGAATGAGAGTATTCTGCCAGGTTTGCCAGCTTGGCATTGCATGCTATGCAATATGTGAGTCTGAGATCTACAAGCATCCCCCAAGTGTTTTTCCATCACTGATTTCCCCAGAGGAGTCCCTCTTAATTAGTATTTTGCATGCATAATTTTGGTACCCTAGTGCATATTTTGCATTGCTCAATATTGAACCTCATCTGCCATGCAGCTGACAAAAGAAGAGCAATAGTCTCACCATTGTGTTGCTGCTGCTGCTTCACTGTCCAATCACAGATTGGGGTTAGTGCTAGAAAAGCCTGTATTTCTGCAGTCCACAGAAAAAGTAAAGAGAAAAGGATGTTGCTATGCTACTTGGCAGGGAAATCTGAATTACAACACTGGCTGCACTCAGAGTTACATATTCTTTGGCAGGTTATATAGTTAACATGTATGTATTTCAAAAATCTATTTAGATGTTTTCTGGAGTTCAACTTTAACTGAATATCAACATTGGTGTACGGACTGCTTAGTGGCAGAATAACATAGGGAATAGGGAAAAGCATCCCTAGTGTAACAAAATCAAGAATGTTGGTTTTTTTTGCAGGTAAGACTATGGGATTGTGAAACTGGAAAATGTATAAAAATCCTCAAGGTAGGGGGAAATTATCAGTTTACATAATGTTTCTTTTTCATTGATAAGAAACCTGTACTTAGAAAACTATGTAACATCATTATATAATATGTCATTTAAAAAAAGACTTTGCAAAAAGAAGAGACTAGATAATGAACTGTCCTCTGAAATAAAATGTATTACAATAACATAAATGTTTGTATACATTTAAGAAAGCCATTTCGATATGAAAACATTTAAAGTGGTGTTATGAATGAAACATAAGCACCGGCACACATTTTCCAATTTTTTCTGGGAGCTTGAAAACTGAGATGCTTCAAAATTAAACAACAGCACACAAAGCCAAAGTAGGCCTGCTTCATCCAATGCATCAATATAAGGCATTAAACATGATAAATCACAGTAAATAATATGGTGCATAAGAGGTCAGCGTAGCTCTCTGCTTTCCTTCTTTGAGCTGATATTTGCATTTTAGGGACCCTGAAAGAGAATTTATATTAGTGAGAATGGATATTAGTGGGTATGTGCAGGCATTGGAGTGTGTCAGATTTTCGTTTAAGGTGCCATTATTTCACTTTTTTTTTTAAATAAAAGGTTTAAGGAACAACTCTAGCATTAATGTGAAAACAGTCCGTTAAGTAGTGCTATGCAGGAAACATAGCTGTAAGAAAGTCAGAAAGTGGACTTTACCTAAATCTTAGTAGTATGGAATCCTTTGCAGCTAGATGCAGCAAGTTCCAATATGTGGAAAAACAGTTAAATGTCACTGAGCCCTTATGTGGATCCTTCACTATTTGAACTCAGGGGCTACCCACAGAGCCCAGCCATGCTCTGTAAACTCAATAGTGGAACAGAAACCCATATACTAATGATGTCAGACTTTGTGTAACTTTATTGAATCCAGATGTAACGCACCATGGGGCCACCTCCTCTAAGGCATTTTACCCAACACAGGCTTGATCTCAGGGATAGGGGGCAGAGCCGTCCCTTTAATGAGGCAACCTGAGCTTTTTACCTCAGGCGACACCTCATTTGGTCACATGTGATATGGTTCACACCTGGGCGTTTCACAGCCCAGGCTCCGTGCGGGCCTCCGATGTCCCACGTCTCCACTTCACATGAAATTCTTAAAGATGGTGTAAGAAAATGACACGAAATGATTTTTTATGTCATATTCCTTTTCTCAAAGCATAGGGTGGAAAAGTTCAATAATAGATGATTGTTTCCATTGTTGCATAAAGTTCAGAATGTGTTTAATTTAAAGTTACAAAATATTACAGGATATGGTATATCTTACAGAATTAGTCTATAAGATGCTTGATGGTTACAAAATATAGTATATCTTACAGCAGAAATCTATAAGATGCTTAAGAAACGTGTCTTTAGTTAGTAAGTAAAGATAGTCCTAACAGGTGTCTGTCTATTCAATGTGAGTGTGGGCGTGTCTGTGGATCTGTAGTGTGAATGAGTGTGTGTGTGTGTGTGTGTGTGTGTGTGTGTGTGTCTTGAAGGATCATCCCTCATCCTTTTATCCATGCTTTTACTTTAAAATAACCTATGTGATGTTTACCTTAAACGTCTTTCTGATTAGCATAAGGGAGTGCCATACTTTTAGTAGCTGAGTCATGTGTTCTCCTTCTATCCCATTTTGGGCATCATAGTCTTCTTTATGCATTCCCAACAACTGTTTCAACTATACTTAGGTCTGCCTGTCAGCTTACTGATTGATTACCAATTGTAACTCAAAATCAGCAGTACAGTAAAAAACTGAATCTCCAAACTTGGATAGATTAAAATATAGAAAATCAATCATCATTTAAGGTTCACACATACATATTTCAATATCTCTGGTTTTAACAATTCCCTCTGAAAATGGGTAATTGGAATTTTAATCATTTATCCTAAATTATTTAATACTAATATTCATTCATACATCAGTCATGTCACAAGCGTATCACAGATATTCAAAAACCATAAAATGATTGATTTGCATATTTCATCCTTGATCCAGTATTAGGAACAATAAGCCTGGCAAGACTTGTCTTATCAGTATTTGCCTTATATTCCTTATACTTATCAAATATTCAAACTATACATTCCCTTGATAAGGTCATTATCAAATGTAAAAACACTTTGGTGAATCCTTACATAAATAGATACTTCAAAATTTCACAAAAATAGTATGTAACATAAAATATTAATTTCCTTGTTTACCTATACTCAGTAAACTAAATATAACTTTTCTTAAACATATGTTCATTATTGTTAAATTAGCCTAAACATACACTTAATAATGTTTAGCTCGTCTTCAATATGTCTGTACATGTACTTTAAAATAACAAAATATTGTATCCTTAAACTAAAATGAAAGCAATACTGTTTCAATACAGTTATTGTTTCTGACAACATCATGTGTGATTACAAATATGAAAAATGTATCAGTTAGAAAAAATGTGTGTGTGAAAAATTAAAATATGTAATATACTATTTAGTTAATAGTACAGTTCAATAAATCTTCTTTTCTTCATAAGATGATCTTCTTTACTTCATAAGATGATCTTCTTTAATAATTGTGTAGTGTTAATAAAACTTGAAAATATAGCCATTGCTATAGTAAACAAAAACCTTGAGCGCCAAATCTTCTTCCAGAAAAGGCTCTTCTCATCTTCTTCAGAATCTCTTTCATCTGAAGGCATCTAGAAGCATCATATTACCTTCTAGCACTGACTTGTAAGTCACTTCCTGTAACAGAAATGCAGTATCATTACTTAGGAAAAATAATTTTCATTGGCTAATGTGTAACTACATTTATCTATTACTATGTATACTTTAGATCAATTACATGGTCTTCATCCTTATGTGGTGCAAATATGTTAATAAGTAGTTTTTATTCATTATAAAAACCTATGTGAGAACATTCCTATTTATATACTTCATGTATTATGAGGAAATATTCAACTTTTTCCCTACTTTAGGAAAACCTAAATTCTCATGTATGTACTGTGTTACTTAAAATGTATGACAGGACGCAAATCCCTAATTGGTCTTGATTCAAAACCTTGTTTTTTTCAAACTTAAAGAAAGATTTTGTATCAACCCAGAAGATTCTTTTACTTCTATAAAAGCTAGTTTAAAAATGTACTTCTGTGCTTACTTTAACTAGTTCTATGTTTGAAGGATATATAGGTTTTTGAGATGTACAAACAGGTGGTTGTACATAATGTTGTGTGAGTTCTATTTAAATCTGTTTACTTTACATGTCAAAACTTTTAACCATTTTGAAAACTTTCCATGCAATTCTTCTAAACCATTTTCCTTGAGAAAAACATTTAATAATGGATCAGATTTTTGTAAAATTGGATCTCATAATGTTTTCAGTTACTTTGACAGCTTTATAAAAACTCCTAACACTTTTTAACACGTGACAGAAACTTTTTCTCCATGGGTGTCTTTACAGTCTGGAGAAATAGCTATACATTCTCCTATTACCATCTCTGAGCTGGTAGAGTGTAAAAAATTGCATCTTCAAAAACATGTCTTTGTAAAACAAAAGCAGCTGAAGAAACATCTATACTTGCTAATGTTGGAGCATTCTATAGGTCTTTCTTCAATGTTCCAAATGCATTTAGCTGTACTTCATCCCACTGACCACATATATCAGATTTGTTTCTTTAACAATAAATACAAAATGTCTGACTTTCTCTGCAAATCCCTGTATGTAATCTTGTTATATAAGTTTACTTGATTCAAAAAATCGTGTAAGGCCTTGTGAGATTTGGGGATAGCAATAGCCAATATTGCCTTTACTTGTTCTTGCAATAATTGCCTCTTCCCATGACCAATCAGCATTGAAAAGAATGTCACTTCCCTTTTTAGAAACAAAGTAAACAATTCAAACAAAAGAGTCATATGTTCTTGTCACTAATGTCTAGTCCTTAGACTGGTAAATACATACTGTGCGTTCTAAATGCAAACTTGTACTGACAACCTTTAGTCAATGGTATAGAAAAATGACTATTCCCGATTTCCAGTCCCTAGGAAATTTTAGCCTTGGCATCTAAGTGTGGCATAATATCAGGATTTTCAGGAACAACAGGCTTGTTATTTGGGATATATTTATTTAGTGTCCTGAAATCAACTGATAAACATGGTTTGGCGGCCATATTGAATTGTGTCAAATTCGAAAAATATTTCTATCATTTTGATGCTTCTTTTTTCAAATGCTAATTATTGCCACACCGTTATGTAAAAACTCATGAAATTTGGCCCAATGGTAAAGAACGGTGTTGTGTTTAATCTTTGTCAACATAAAGGTCATAGGTCGCATGCTCTGGCGACCATCTTGGTTTACACAAACCTATTTTTGACAGTTTTCAAACATCTGTTTTTTTCATAAAGGATACAGATATACAAATTTCTTGGAGAGGATAAGTTGAAATCTGCACTTATATATGTTTATTACAAGTCATGTGACCGCAGGGTTTGGCAGCCATTTTGGATTGTGCATTATTCTGCAAATAACTTAAACTCTGAAACCATTTATCAGAATAACTCAAAACTTTGCACATATGCCCAGGGCTACCTCTTCTACCACGGTTGTAGAAACTGGCCCAATCCCAAAATCAATATGGCCGCCACATCAAATTGAAGTTGTGTTGTGCATCAAATTGCATAAATGTGCATTTATATCACTAGTTAAGTATGTTAAACATGTTATACATATGATAACTCAACATCATAACTGCCACATACAATATGGCATCCAGAGGTCACCAAGGTGACCTCTGGATGCCCTTTTGAATTAGATTTTTTTAAAATAATTCATGAAATCATGTCCTGTTTTTTTAATCTCTCTAACTTCAATATGTTCTCATGTGCTATTACCGGCTCTACTGCTTGGCCACCTTTGTTGCTGCTTGCAGCTATATTTATACAGTATATTTATATTTTATTATTGATCATTCTTTATATATGTACACACTATTCACATTGTTTGATGATTTATGCTGATTGATTTGCAT